CTTTATCACTACCCAGTAAACACATGTATCAGAGACTGACATTACAACAAACAAGCTTTATCACTACCCAGTAAACACATGTATCAGAGACTGACATTACAACAAACAAGCTTTATCACTACCCAGTAAACACATGTATCAGAGACTGACATTACAACAAACAAGCTTTATCACTACCCAGTAAACACATGTATCAGAGACTGACATTACAACAAACAAGCTTTATCACTACCCAGTAAACACATGTATCAGAGACTGACATTACAACAAACAAGCTTTATCACTACCCAGTAAACACATGTATCAGAGACTGACATTACAACAAACAAGCTTTATCACTACCCAGTAAACACATGTATCAGAGACTGACATTACAACAAACAAGCTTTATCACTACCCAGTAAACACATGTATCAGAGACTGACATTACAACAAACAAGCTTTATCACTACCCAGTAAACACATGTATCAGAGACTGACATTACAACAAACAAGCTTTATCACTACCCAGTAAACACATGTATCAGAGACTGACATTACAACAAACAAGCTTTATCACTACCCAGTAAACACATGTATCAGAGACTGACATTACAACAAACAAGCTTTATCACTACCCAGTAAACACATGTATCAGAGACTGACATTACAACAAACAAGCTTTATCACTACCCAGTAAACACATGTATCAGAGACTGACATTACAACAAACAAGCTTTATCACTACCCAGTAAACACATGTATCAGAGACTGACATTACAACAAACAAGCTTTATCACTACCCAGTAAACACATGTATCAGAGACTGACATTACAACAAACAAGCTTTATCACTACCCAGTAAACACATGTATCAGAGACTGACATTACAACAAACAAGCTTTATCACTACCCAGTAAACACATGTATCAGAGACTGACATTACAACAAACAAGCTTTATCACTACCCAGTAAACACATGTATCAGAGACTGACATTACAACAAACAAGCTTTATCACTACCCAGTAAACACATGTATCAGAGACTGACATTACAACAAACAAGCTTTATCACTACCCAGTAAACACATGTATCAGAGACTGACATTACAACAAACAAGCTTTATCACTACCCAGTAAACACATGTATCAGAGACTGACATTACAACAAACAAGCTTTATCACTACCCAGTAAACACATGTATCAGAGACTGACATTACAACAAACAAGCTTTATCACTACCCAGTAAACACATGTATCAGAGACTGACATTACAACAAACAAGCTTTATCACTACCCAGTAAACACATGTATCAGAGACTGACATTACAACAAACAAGCTTTATCACTACCCAGTAAACACATGTATCAGAGACTGACATTACAACAAACAAGCTTTATCACTACCCAGTAAACACATGTATCAGAGACTGACATTACAACAAACAAGCTTTATCACTACCCAGTAAACACATGTATCAGAGACTGACATTACAACAAACAAGCTTTATCACTACCCAGTAAACACATGTATCAGAGACTGACATTACAACAAACAAGCTTTATCACTACCCAGTAAACACATGTATCAGAGACTGACATTACAACAAACAAGCTTTATCACTACCCAGTAAACACATGTATCAGAGACTGACATTACAACAAACAAGCTTTATCACTACCCAGTAAACACATGTATCAGAGACTGACATTACAACAAACAAGCTTTATCACTACCCAGTAAACACATGTATCAGAGACTGACATTACAACAAACAAGCTTTATCACTACCCAGTAAACACATGTATCAGAGACTGACATTACAACAAACAAGCTTTATCACTACCCAGTAAACACATGTATCAGAGACTGACATTACAACAAACAAGCTTTATCACTACCCAGTAAACACATGTATCAGAGACTGACATTACAACAAACAAGCTTTATCACTACCCAGTAAACACATGTATCAGAGACTGACATTACAACAAACAAGCTTTATCACTACCCAGTAAACACATGTATCAGAGACTGACATTACAACAAACAAGCTTTATCACTACCCAGTAAACACATGTATCAGAGACTGACATTACAACAAACAAGCTTTATCACTACCCAGTAAACACATGTATCAGAGACTGACATTACAACAAACAAGCTTTATCACTACCCAGTAAACACATGTATCAGAGACTGACATTACAACAAACAAGCTTTATCACTACCAAGTAAACACATGTATCAGAGTCTGACATTACAACAAACAAGCTTTATCACTACCCAGTAAACACATGTACCAGGGACTGACATTACAACAAACAAGCTCCATCACTACCCAGTAAACACATGTACCAGAGACTGACATTACAACAAACAGGCTTTATAACTACCAAGTAAACACATGTATCAGAGTCTGACATTACAACAAACAAACTTTATCACTACCTAGTAAACACATGTATCAGAGACTGACATTACTACAAACAAGCTTTATCACTACCCATGTATCAGAGACTGACATTACTACAAACAAGCTTTATCACTACCCAGTAAACACATGTATCAGAGACTGACATTACAACAAAAAAGCTTTATCATTACCCAGTAAACACATGTATCAGAGACTGACATTACAACAAACAAACTTTATCACTACCCAGTAACCACATGTACCAGAGACTGGCATTACAACAAACAGGTTTTATCACTAACCAGTAACCACATGTATCAGAGACTGACATTACAACAAACAAACTTTATCACTACCCAGTAACCACATGTACCAGAGACTGGCATTACAACAAACAGGTTTTATCTCTAACCAGTAACCACATGTATCAGAGACTGACATTACAACAAACAAACTTTATCACTACCCAGTAACCACGTGTACCAGAGACTGGCATTACAACAAACAGGTTTTATCACTAACCAGTAACCAGTATCAGAGACTGACATTACAACAAACAAGCTTCATCACTACCCAGTAAACACATGTATCAGAGACTGACCTTACAACAAACAAGCTTTATCACTACCTAGTAAACACATGTACCAGAGACTGACATTACAACAAACAAGCTTTATCACTACCCAGTAACCACATGTACCAGAGACTGACATTACAACAAACAAGCATATCTTTATCACTATCTTTATTTACCTAATGCCACTTGAAGTAATTGTCCTTTAAATTTGTTTTCAACACCACTAGACTGACATGCTTGTGATGACATTTTATTTTTCCTTTCAGCCCTTACCGAAATGACTTTATTATTTAGCCAGCCCTTACCGAAATGACTTTATTATTTAGCCAGCCCTTACCGAAATGACTTTATTATTTAGCCAGCCCTTACCGAAATGACTTTATTATTTAGCCAGCCCTTACCGAAATGACTTTATTATTTAGCCAGCCCTTACCGAAATGACTTTATTATTTAGCCAGCCCTTACCGAAATGACTTTATTATTTAGCCAGCCCTTACCGAAATGACTTTATTATTTAGCCAGCCCTTACCGAAATGACTTTATTATTTAGCCAGCCCTTACCGAAATGACTTTATTATTTAGCCAGCCCTTACCGAAATGACTTTATTATTTAGCCAGCCCTTACCCTAATGACTTTATTATTTAGCCAGCCCTTACCGAAATGACATTATTATTTAGCCAGCCCTCACAGAAATGACTTTATTATTTAGCCAGCCCTTACCAAAATGACTTTATTATTTTGCCAGCCCTTACCGAAATGACTTTATTATTTAGCCAGCCCTTACCCTAATGACTTTTATTATTTAGCCAGCCCTTACCGAAATGACTATTATTTAGCCAGCCCTTACCGAAATGACTTTATTATTTAGCCAGCCCTTACCGAAATGACTTTATTATTTAGCCAGCCCTTACCGAAATGACTTCATTATATAGCCAGCCCTTTCCCTAATGACTTTATTATTTAGCCAGCCCTTACCGAAATAACTTTATTATTTAGCCAGCCCTTACCGAAATGACTTTTTTATTTAGCCAGCCCTTACTGAAATGACTTTATTATTTAGCCAGCCCTTACCAAAATGACTTTATTATTTAGCCAGCCCTTACCGAAATGACTTTATTATTTAGCAAGCCCTTACCGAAATGACTTCATTATATAGCCAGCCCTTTCCCTAATGACTTTATTATTTAGCCAGCCCTTTCCCTAATGACTTTAATATTTAGCCAGCCCTTACCCTAATGAACTTTATAGCTTATAATTCTTTACAATGAAAACAACAATTAGGTTATGCAACTTTTTAATTAAAACATTGCATAACAATATAAATTACTGTCATTTATTGTTGCTTTTATTTAAAGGAATTTAATATGAATCTGCTGTCTTTGACAAACAATATAAAATATCAAAGTACAGTGATATAAGGACAGTGGGCCTGACAGTTACTGCTCAACATTAAAATAACATAAATGCTGAATTTAAATGTGTTTAAAATTATTTATGCAGATTTTTTTTGGATGTCAGAAAAATTAACTTGACCTCACAAGCCTTCCCTCCTAGCTATACATTAAGTATAGAAATTCTTTGTGACAACAAAGCCGGCATGCAAGGTGTACATCATATCCCTGACTGGGATGTATAATGATTTCAAGACTCAGAGCCAGAATTTTGTAGATTTTAACAAAGGGCCATAACTGTCGCAACATTTTACGCAGTATCCCCATTTTAGGATATATGTTCATGTTTCTTGTCACACAAACCAGATCTCAAAAAGTTTGATCAAAAGTTGTGGGACCAGCTGCAGTCACAGTATCATGCACAGGGACATATAGACAAAAGGCAGCTTGTTGACATAATGTGGTCCTGTTTTAGTTGGCATATGGCATGAGATTATATAAAAAGCATTAAACCAATCACAAGGAATGCATGCATACTATGACTTGTACAAAATCTAGTAAGCAAATGCAAACAAGTCCTTAAGCAGGCATTACATACAAACTACCGGGTTATATAAAAGACTGAAATCTTTACCCATTTTCACTGTGTGGCCTTCACCAGGATCATCCGAGTCTGATTCTGTAAGTGCCGTCATTTCATCTGAAAAAATAAAAATGTGGACAAGGCTCAGAAATGCATACATTAATTAATAATTGAAACTAGCTTATATTCAACAACTGAATACAAAAATAAATCATGATATGGTATAAACTGATCGTAAAATTAGAAATAATCCAATTTATTAAATTTCACTACCTTGGCACAGTGTAATTAAAGCATTGACATTTAGGATTCCATTGTCTTCAGGACTCACACAACCAAATAGGCCAATCAGCAAGTGTTTCATACGGTTGTAATCCCTACCTAAACATTGTTCCGGTTGAATACAGTGCCTCAAAGTAATTTAAATGTGTAAATATTGACATATTAGTTTACTGAATGTAAATCTATAGATATTTAACTTTGGAAAAATGTATAGTTTTAGTTGATTTTAATATGGGATGGTGGATTTATATGGGGTCAAAAGTCTGTGGGTGATCCAGACCCACTTCACCGTTTGGCTCATAAACTTCCAGTTGTCTAAAGAAGAAGCCTGTAGCGCTCTCTTATGCCACTTAAAACTCACCAAAAATGCCTTTTGAAGCCTTTGTCAGGTATGTATACAGTTGTCATTAGTGCTGAACTTCAAATATTAACACAATTAGCTCAAAAGCTTAGTAATACAAATGTAAATGTAGTAAATGATTTAGTTGTGCGTGTCCTTATATTTATTACCAGCCGGTATTGTTTAAGTTGTAAAACAAATCCCTCGCAGCAAATTAAAGAGAATTGTATAAGGGTCACCGCTGCAGAGATACTTCAGGAAACTCAACAATGATAATTTAATCCTACATGATTCATATTGCAAACTGCATGACTGCTAATTAGCCCAGTGATATTTACATAATTTCCCTCAAAAAAATCTCTGATTCATCAGAATATTACCTACAATTAAATGTAAAGCACTAGTTGATATACCACAATCACACAGTGATGTCATCAAAGTATGACTGCCAAGTTAAAATAGGCCGGTAACCTTGCCCCCATATTGGCTGGGCACAGCCATACAAGGGATGTTTAAACATTTTGATTTGGTTACAATAAGGAAATATCTATTACAATAACCAAATTATAACAAAGGTTAGGTGGCCACATTGAACTGTTTTTCTTGTTCATTGTTTTGTTTAGCACATGCTTATTCTCTAATATAGAGTAAATTTCAGTAAAACACTATGGCCATTTAACTATATATAACAACAAGATTACCGTGGGGCAGAACAATATAAGCCCGTCGAATGCCATATAGTGTTATATACTTTCTTACATTGAAATAAGATCTGCATCATTCAAAGAGAGGTTAGCTGCCATGCTATAACAAAAGGGCCAGAGGGCCTGTTTCGCTCACCTGAATATGTTTAAAACAAGAGGCCCAGAGGGCCTGTATTGCTCACCTGGATACCAAAGCAATCATGGCAAAATATTCTCCGAATGAGATCAAGGGAATATGCCAGACGCCAAGGCCAATCCTTGTGGCATATCTGTATTAGATTTTTTATGCCCAGCAATTTTATGTATGGTTATGGGGTGGGGATCTCAACTGTTTCAAAGTTATGACCCAGGGTTTAAATCTGCAAGTGTGGGGCAGACCCTGGGACCAATTCTGATATCATGACTGCATTCGTCTTTTCATGCCCAACAATTGTATATATAGTTTTGGGGTGGGGATCTAAACCATTTCAAAGTTATGACCTTGGGTTAAGTCTCCAAGGGTGGGGCAGTCCCCAAGGCCATCCTGGAAGCATATGTACAATCATCTATTTATACTCAGCAATTGTATATACCGGTATAGGGTGGGGATCTCAACAGTTTCCAAGATGTGACTAACAAACTAGGTCCCTAGGGGTTTGGTCAGACCCCAGGGTCTATTCTGATATCATGACTGCATTCATCTTTTTATGCCCAGCATTTGTATAGTTTTGGGGTGGGGATCTCAACAGTTTTAAAGTTATAGCCCAGGGACTACAGTATGTCTCCAAGGGTGGGGCCAGACCCTATAGCCATCCTGAAAGCAAATGTGCATTCTTCTCTTTATACTCAGCAATTGTATATATATGGTTATATGGTGGGGATCTCAACCATTTCCAAGTAATACACTTTTTTTGGCCCCACCCCTTAGCCCGGGGGGTCAGTCCCACCATTTGTACAATTTTGAATCCCTGCCTCACATGAATACTTCCGACCAAATATGATCAATATCCATGGCATATTTCTACAGAAGTCGTTTATAGCAATATAGCCAAATTGCCCCCCTTTTTGGCCCCGCCCTCAGCCCCCTTTGGGGCTTAGCCCCACCATTTGTAAAATTTTGAATCCCTACCACCTAAGGATGCTTCAAGTCAAATATGGTTGATATCACCTTCTTAGTTCCAGAGAAGAAGTCACTTAAAGCAATATTGCAAAATTGACCCCTTTTTGCCCCGCCCCTCAGCCCCCTGGGGGGTCAGCTCCATCATTTGTACAATTTTGAATCCCTGACAACTAGGGATGCTTCCAGTTAAATATGGTTGATATCAACTTCTTAGTTCCAAAGAAGAAGTCGCTTAAAGCAATATAGCCAAATTGACTAGGACCAGGTGAGCTAATAATTGGTATGAAGTAAAGATATAACACTCCATGGTAGGTGCTGTAAGTACATATGAAATTTCAGAAAGATCCATCCAGCACTTGAGATAGAGCGAGAACAAAACTTCAAACAGAGCCCCATCCCTCTGCCCCTAGGAAGGTCACACCCACCAATTATACAAAATTGAGTCCTCTTGACCCAAGGATGCTCCAGACTAAATAAGGATAAAATCCCTTAATCCCGATGGTCGGAGAATGATTTTAAAGGTTTTACCTATATTTCCCCTATTGGGCACCGCCCCTCAGGTCCCCGGGGGGCCACACCCACCGTTTATACAAAATTGGTTCCCCTTTACCCAAAGAAGCTCCACACCAAATATGGACCAAATCCTTTCATTCCTACAGAAGAAGAAGGATTTTAAAAATTTGTTATATTTCCCCTGTTGGGCCCCGCCCCTCAGCCCCCTGGGGGACCAGACCCACCGTTTATACAAAATTGGTTTCCCTTCACCCAAGAATGCTTCAGACAAATATAAACCAAATCCTTTCATTCCTACAGAAGAAGAAGGATTTTAAAGAATATTTTGCTATGTTTCCTCTATTGGGCCCCGCCCCTCAGGCCCCTAGGGGGCCGGACCCACAGTTTATACAAAATTGTTCCCCCTTTACCCAAGGGTACTTCAGACCAAATATGGAACAAATCCTTTCATTCCTACAGAAGAAGAAGGATTTTAAAGAATATTTAGCTATGTTTCCCCTATTGGGCCTCGCCCCTCAGGCCCCTAGTGGGCCAGACCCTTGGTTTATACAAAATTGGTTCCCCTTCACCCAAGAATGCTTCAGACCAAATATGGACCAAAACCTTTCATTCTTACAGAATAGGAAGGATTTTAAAGAATATTTTGCTATGTTTCCCCTATTTGGCCCAGCCCCTCAGGCCCCTGAGGGGCCAGACCCACGTTTTATACAAAATTGTTCCCCCTTTACCCAAGGATGCTTCAAACAAAATATGGAACAAATCCAGCGTAACAATTATGACATCAATATAATGATGATGTCAACAATAGGTCCATGGCATTCATAGCGTTTAGTTATTTGAATGCAACTGAATTTGGTAAGGTTATATAGAGGCAATGTAATACGATGGTAAATATACAGAAATACAATCCTGTATATCTCCTCCTTAATTTAACATGAATACAGTGTCCAATTACTATTATTATAATCGAAATAAACATTAGGTATAGTTTGTAATTAATATACTGATACTGAAGATAAATATAAGTGTTTTGGTGTGAGGAGCAATGAAAATAAAATCCCAGATCTCCATGAGGTAGGGGAATATTGAAATTTTACATGGGAATAGCAGGAACCTTACTGATAGACCTAAACATGTACTACATGTCATGTTTTTGTAATGTGGCACATCAAATAAAACTTGAGGACACTTGCTGGTCTCCTGATAAAGGGAGCTCCCCCACTGATATGTGTATATACCTGTAAAAGACTCCGTCACACTATTGCCATTGAGTATAACAGCCCCGTTGCTATTGGCGTCGCGTAACTTGTCATACAGGACGATGGATTCTGGTTGTTTCTTCCGTACTGCTGCCTGCCCACACCATGTCACCTTTGGCACAAACCACGCCTCTAGCTTGGCGTTGTGGTACATTATCAAAATATAGACTAGGTAGAAAAGCACCAGGCCCAACGCCTCATACCTGTAACAATACAATAATGCTGCTATTATTAAATATTTTTTAAAAACACCCAGAAATTAAACAGATGATATGTTTAAGCAGAACATATATGTGAAGTGTTTATTTCAAAACCCATCAAGAAATATGGCACTAGAATGATCACAAGGAGTGTGCCAGCAAACTTCTGTTTTTAGTAACAGTAACCTTGACTTTGAACTGATGATGCCCTTATTCACACTTGTCAAGGATATGTCAAAGTTAAACGTACGACCTTTTCACAGATACAATTAAGCAGCTAGATTACATCTGTGGATATTTTTCGAAATCTGTCAAGAAATACGGTAAAACTTTGATATTACCATTAAAATATCTTACATGAAAATGCAGTGTGACCTTGGAGCTAATTATAAACCAATACTAGAACACTGACAGGTCAGTAAGGGCCCCGTCTTGTGGCAATATACCCCCCATAATCATCAAGAAGCAATCTGCCCATATAGCTGAGCTTGACATTTGATATTTGGACTTCAAAAAGAATCGCAAGGAAGCAAAATATACATTTTACATGTACTATGATGTGAGTCTTGTTTCCTTCCACCTCCATATTTGCTGGGCTAACAGAAATGTAAATACTGGTGCAATACTCATTTGTTAGCTTTGATTTGTTTTATTTCACCTTATATACCTCCTCCATCAAGAGCCAGTTTCAAAGTCAGAGATCCACTTTGTCNCTTTGATTTGTTTTATTTCACCTTATATACCTCCTCCATCAAGAGCCACTTTGTCTTTGACCTTTGGACCCAAATGACCTTGACCATGGACCTAAGGTCAGTTGACGCTGTGTTAAGTTCTGAACAACATTGCTTCATCATGTCATAACAAAATGTTCATCAGGGAAAAGGTACAAAATTTAACCTTCACCTTTGACCCAGTGACCTTGACCTTTGGTCAATTGACTCCTTGTTTAATTCTGAGCTACATTGCTTCAAAGTGTCACAGCGAAATGTTCACCAGTGAAAAGATACAAAAAATTAACCTTGACCTTTGACCTCAACTTTTTACCTCAGTGTGTCTCTTTGTTAATACTTCCGAACAACTTTGCTTCATAATGTCATAGCGAACTGTTCACCAGTGAAAAGCTACAAAATTTGACCTTGACCCCTGACCCGATGACCTTGAACTGTGGTCAGTTGACTCCTTGTTTAATTTTGATCAACTTTGCCTCATAATGTCATAACAAAATGTTCATCAGTGAAAAGATGTAAAATTTGACCTTGACCTTTGAACCTAATGACCTTGACCTTTAACCTTCATGTACATCGGTCAATAAATACCAAAGTTATCAGCCAGGAACAAAATTTGTGGACGGACAGACAGACAGAGTGATTACTATAGGGCACCCGTATCTGTGATACGGGGCCCTAACAAGCAGCTATTGTTTAGATATCACTAATACTCAGACATCTACGTCACACAGTATCGGTTGATCCTTTTCTCCCACACTTTCCTACCTTTAAAACAAAACTGGTAATGCTTTATATCAACCCCATGCACTGCATGTAACGCCATAAGTTGTGCATTAAAATAATGCTGTCCTTTTGTTCAGTGATGACATTTCAGAATATTGGTGCATGTGAGCTGTCATTAGATTTATAAAATTGATCACTATAGGTTATCTTTTCTCAAAAAAAACCTGGAGTGCATCTGAATGTGAGGTGTTGGAGATTAGGAGAATCTTTCACCATTTACAGACAAACCTAGACAAATTAAGAAAAAGTAATACCTGGAGGAGTTTCTCAATTACAAACTATAAACTTGTAATAATCTTTTCATCTTAACACTTTACTCAAATTTCCTAACAGGTTCTTTAGGCAGTTTATCAGTGAAAATTCTGAAAGCCAAAAGCAACATGACGTTTTAGCATTTTTTTGTCGATAATATCACAAGTTTGAAGGGTGATAATGTCAAACAGAATTTAGGATGTTAGAAATATCAGATTAGTATGAAAGACAACACATATAAATAAACAATTGGAGAGTATTACCAATAAATATGTCCATCTAATATCACGAGTGCTAGAGCAGCCACACTTAACAAATAGAAAACACAGTCCCGGACCAAGGGCCACCAGTTCAGGTACACCACCTACAACACATGTGAAATCAGTCTAAAACATAGGCAAAATAAATATAATATAACACGGCTAAAATACTCCATAACATGCGTACACTAGTACAACACACGTAAAATCAGTCTAAAACATGGGTAAAAATTGATATAATATAATAATCAATAACACATTAACTCATTCACCCCTGAAATTTCATAATGAACTATTCCAACCTTTGCATTGGAAGAGTTCAAATGTGTCTTCAGGGGTGAATGAGTTAACACACACAATACAGGTAACATCAGTCTACAACAGAGGGGAAAATGAATATGATATAACATGGCTAAAACACTCCATAACATGCTTATATATATTCTACAGGTAAAATAGCTTATTTCAATATCATGAACAACTCGACTACCATATGTCCGTATCATCTGGACCCTGGAGCCAGACTGAATCCCATATGTGCGTATCATCTGGACCCTGGAGCCAGACTGAATACCATATTTCCGTATCATCTGGACCCTGGAGCCAGACTGAACACCATATGTCCGTATCATCTGGACCCTGGAGCCAGACCCAATACCATATGTCCGTATCATCTGGACCCTGGAACCAGACTCAATACCATATGTCCGTATCATCTGGACCCTTGAGCCAGACTGAATACCATATGTCCGTATCATCTGCACCCTGGAGCCAGACTCAATACCATATGTCCGTACCATCTGGACCCTGGAGCCAGACTCAATACCATATGTGCGTATCATCTGGACCCTGGAGCCAGACTGAATACCATATTTCCGTATCATCTGGACCCTGGAGCCAGACTGAACACCATATGTCCGTATCATCTGGACCCTGGAGCCAGACTGATTACCATATGTCCGTATCATCTGGACCCTGGAGCCAGGCTCAATACCATATGTCCGTATCATCTGGACCCTTGAGCCAGACTGAATACCATATGTCCGTATCATCTGGGCCCTGGAGCCAGACTCAATCCCATATGTCCGTATCATCTGGACCCTGGAGCCAGACCCAATACCATATGTCCGTATCATCTGGACCCTGGAGTCAGACTCAATACCATATGTCCGTATCATCTGGACCCTTGAGCCAGACTGAATACCATATGTCCGTATCATCTGCACCCTGGAGCCAGACTCAATACCATATGTCCGTATCATCTGGACCCTTGAGCCAGACTGAATACCATATGTCCGTATCATCTGGACACTGGAGCCAGACTCAATACCATATGTCCGTATCATCTTGACCCTGGAGCCAGACTGAATACCATATGTCCGTATCATCTGGACCCTGGAGCCAGACTGAATACTGGTATAGGATTGGGTTCATCTATTCATGCCCTGCAAGTAGGTAAATGGTTAAAAGGTGGGGATCACAAACATTGTTTGAAATCAATACTTGAGGATGCTTCAAACCAAATATGGTTGATATATATATAACACATACATACAGTAATAAGTTGAAGTTGCTGAAGTTGATATGGCAAATCACTCATTGCTTACACTGCCCCTCAGACAGCACGATACTCACATGTTTAAACCCAACCTCAATTATGTTAACCTACAATATGTCTTGCAAGCAGGGGATATAAATTCCCCGAAACCAATCCGTATACAATTTGAATCCCTGGCATCATCTAAAGATGACTTCAGAAAATCTAGAGAAAATCCATTCATTAATTCAGGAGTATTCATGGACGGATGGATGACAACTACAATGTACAGCCTAATGATTTTTTTAATGATTTTTTTATTGTGCACTGAAAATGAGATAAGTTGATGCACTGTTTCATGTCTAGAAAATTATAAATGCAAAAAAAACACAAAAGAGTTCGTATTAGTTTAATGTGGCTATGTGCCACTGTCATCTAATCACGACCAAATGATTTTCAGTCAAAATCTGCTGACTAGTGCATATGCTTAATCCATCAGAATATGACAATATAATTAAATATTATAATTTAACATGCAAATGAATGAATATTTTGAAAATTTCTAATTAACAATATTGAGACCAAAAGCTTTCTTTGGATGAATGATGTAGTCATTAAGAACCTATCAGTGATATGACTATAACTAGTGATCCTAGATCGTAGATTTATTTACGAGACATATTAATCAATCATTAATTGCTTCTAATCATATATTTAACAACTTGACAAATTTAGTTTACACGTACAAAGTAGTAAAACTAGCTCAGTTAAGCTTAATGTAAGACTGTAATCAGACAATGAATATTAACACTTTCATTTAATACTTATATTAATTGTACCTATTAAATTAAGTTAAATGAATTTTTAGACATTAATAAGATCTATATTTTATATTAAATGAATAAAAATGCCTAGAAACACATTAAAGTCTTCATTTAGACAATAGTTAGTGTTATTTCTTTAAACATTACCATAACAGGTAATATTCAAACCAAAAAATAATCAATTAAATTTGTATAAAAAGTACAGTATATTAAACTAAGATGTTTACATTGAATTAGAAAATTGTTTCATAAACTGACCTCCGGTCAAACCTAAATCAGTGTTAAATCATGATATTTATGTATGTTTCTTTATTTAAGGGAGCTATATATCCTTTTCATTTCATTTAACTGTTTATTTTTTTTAATTTGGTTTTCAGTATTTTAAAGAAATGGATTATAAAATTGAACAAGAGTACTGCGGGCGGAAAAATATACGCCCGTCGAATGTCATATAGTGTTATATACTTTCTTACATTGAAATAATATCTCTCTGCATCATTCTAAGGGTGGTTAGCTGACATGCTATAACAAGAGGCCCAGAGGGCCTGTATCGCTCACCTGAATATGTTTAAAATAATTGGTTTGAAGTAAAGATATAGCACACCATGGCAGCTGTGCTGTAAGTACATATGTTTCAGATAGATCCATCCAGTACTTGAGATATAGCGAGAACAAACTTCAAACAGAACCCCCTATGCCCCGGGGGGGGGGGGGGGGTGTGTGTAATACCCACTAATTATACAAAATTGAGACCCCAAGGATGCTCCAGACTAAATTAGGATAAAATAAAATCCCTTAATCCCTGTGGTAGAAGAAGGATTTAAAAGGTTTAATCTCTAGTTCCCCTATTGGACCCCGCCTCTCTGCCTCCAGGGGGGGTTAGACACACCATTTATACAAAATTGGTTCCTCTTCACCCAAGGATGCTTCATACCAAATTTGGATAAAATCCCTTAATCCCTATGGTAGAAGAAGGATTTTAAAGGTTTTACCTCTATTTCCCCGATTTGTCCTCACCTCTCTGCCTCCGGGGGGGGGGGGTTAGACAGACCATTTATACAAAATTGGTTCCCCTTCACCCAAGGATGCTTCATACCAAATTTGGACAAAATCCTGTCATTCATACAGAAGAAGGTATTTCAATAATTTGCTATGTTTCCCCTATTGGGCCCCTCCCTTCTGCACCCAGGAGGGCCACACTCGCTGTTTATAAGAAATTGAGTCCCTTTTGCCAAAGGATGTTCAAGACTAAATTAGGATAAAATCCCTTCATCCCTACGGTAGTAGAAGGATTTTGAAGGTTTTACCTCTAAATCCCCTATTGGGCCCTGCCCCTCTGCCCCCAGGGGGGCCACACCCACCATTTATACAAAATTGAGTCCCCTTGGCCTAAGGATGCTCCAGACCAAATTTACTCAAAATCTACTTGGCCATTCAGGACTAGTAACGTTTTAAAGGAAAAGTTGACGGATGGATGACGGACGATGGACGCTGCGGTATGGCATAAGCTCAGCATGGTCCTTCGGACCAGGTGGGCTAAAAATGTAAGAGAAAATCTCCAGACAAAAAAACAAATACTGAAATGAACAAAGGGCAATAACTTTTGCAAATATTGTCGAAACGAAATTCTTTTAAGGGAGACACAACTTCATATCATGATTATAATGTATACCAAGTTTCAAAGAGATCCGTTGAAAAATGTAGGAGGAGATTGCCGGACAAAAATCAAATACTGAAATGAACGAAGGGCAATAACTTTTGGAAATATTGACGAAATAAAATTCTTTTCAAGGGAGACACAACTTCATATCATGATTATAAAGTATACCAAGTTTCAAAGGGATCGGTCAAAAAATGTAGGAGGAGATTGCCAGACAAACAAAAGTTAACGCCGGACGGACGGACGGACAACCCCATACCATAATACTTTCATCAAATTTGACGGGCGAATAAAAAAGAACAATGATTTTAAAAAATATTATACAGGTATCATAAAAGTTACTTTATCTAAAAAGAGTTTATATTTCTAACACAAAACCCTATTTCATAACAGTGACCTTGATCTATGAGTAAGTGTCCTTAGACGAACTTGTCAAAGTTATGTCCAAATGAAAAGACCAAAGCAAACATAATTGTGAAAGTTTCTTAAAAATATGTCAAGAAGTATGGCCACTTGAGTAACAAATGAGACAATGATATTCTATTATTAGTAACAGCGATCTTGATCTTTGACAGCAGGCTTTAATCACGGTAAACATAACTAGGAAGTTTCATAAACAAGAGGCCCAAGAGGGCCAGTATCGCTCACCTGAATATTTAAGCAGTCATAGCAAAATATTCTATTTAAATATTATATTGCACTAAAAATATTTCCCTCGCAAACTTTATTGGCTCCATCTGTTGAAACTACCAGCAAAATATTATTACAAGAGTCTATGCTTTTTGATTCTTCAGAGGTTGCTTGACATATTTTTCCCTGTGACCTTGTAAGTAGGTCAATGTCATTTTCCTTCTCAAATTGGTAAGCTCTATTCGAAAAGCTACCAGCCAAATCTTATGAATCCATTCCTTTTAGTTCTTAAGAACAAATCCATTAAAATGTTGTTGACCTCTGTGACCTTGAAAGTAGGTCAAGGTCACTTTCATTCGCAAACTTTGTTGGGCTCTTTCCCAGGAAATAACCA